AAGCAGGAGCAAGCCACACCGCAGTGCAGCTCTTCATATATGCACGATTAAACATTTCTGCAGGTTTATTGTGGGACCTGTAGGTGGCCTCATTTTAATAGTCAATAAACCAAGAACTATTAGTTCAGTTTGCCAATGAGCTAAGCAACGTTTTGTCTTATTCTACTGAATATGGAAGCTGATGCATTTGCTCCTAATGCCACTGAATACTCTGCTGTTTGTTCTGTAAACAAGTGGGTACAGAGCACACTGATGTTAATTTGGGAAGTGTGAACAGTTGTTTTGTTTTCATCCTTAAATTCCTTCAAGGATGGGAATAGAGAAGGCAAGATTTTTAAACTCCGAGTTAGGACCAGAAAAGTAGCCTATATCACGTACTTCACATCCCCTTCCAGACCATGGGTGAAGGAACAGAGGACTGCTGGCCATGCACTGACATTAACCACAGACATTTTGTAACATACTGAACAATAAGAAAAATTAATATACATCACATATTCTGTTAGAGAAGGCCTTACAAAATTCAGTTGGGTAAATGGACTGCAAAACAAGACTAAATGAACTAAGACTGAGACCCTTCAGTACAACCAATACGACAACATCCATATCCACGCTTGGCATCACGTTTGTGACAACACGTTCTTCACTGTAACCCCAAGAGAAATGCTGACTTATGATGTTGTCTTACTTAACTGGGCCATTTTTGGGGTGAGGAAGAAGAGGAAATACAATGGACCTTAGCTAGTGCCACAGAAAGCTCCACCTTTGTCAGCTGTTGAGAGGGCAATAAGGTCTCGTGCCTCACACTAGTACATGTGGGCAGGTCCTATCCCGCGGGTCATTATTATCACTATCTTATGCTGGGCCACTGGAGGCAAGTTGTGCGCTTCGGTTTTGTCTCACCTTTTACCCTGACAGATGACAGAGCCTTCAGACACCACTTGCCTGCGAGTACAAATAAGAGGACAATGCATTACTTCACAAGCAGCTCCCTCTCCGTTCTTGGAGCGATGCCTTTGCTGCACAAATCCAGGTGTCAGTCTACCCCTGTCCATGTGGGGAATACGTGCTACAGCCACTGTGGTTAAGGCCTCAGTTTTACCCTGTTCACATATACACACTGTATTTTTTTTAGCATATGAGAGCTGATAGAACTTGTGAAAAAGGCTTAGAGTTAAGGTGCCTTTAATGTATGGAAGCCATATAGCTACAATGACAAGAGAATCACAAAGCGGTTTATTAACTGGCCTCGTGTTGCTGATCCTGCCACCATTGCTTTTCCCACCCTGCAACCATGGCACCCTGAGGAAGAGCAGAGCATCAGGGAGAGCATCCCTTACTAGAAATTTCCGTGGTTTTGAAGCGGTGGGGCGTACATGTGTCTTAGGCACAACTGCATGCCATGCACTGCAAACCACAGCATGCCTTGAGCTGGACTGGAGCGCAGAGCTGTCCCTTGTGTCTGCTGCCAGGCCAGCAGCAGCAAGAGGACGCCACACCTCCAAAGATCTGCCTTAGCACAGCACCTCTGGGTGCTGACGGACTAGCTGGGTTATGCTGGGAGTGCAGGGCAAAGCCACCACAGGGTGTCCAGCCCTGCCTCTCATTTTAGTGGGTACCAGTTAGTTCCTTATTTCAGAAATATCAAACTGTCACAGTTCTGAGAGGGAATGACAGTGGATGGGTGGGAGGCAGAGGGCTACAAGATTAATTTTTGGACTAACAGAGATTATACTAAACTTGTAAACCAAGTCTTCAGTGTGTCCTCTATCCTAGGACGCTCTACAATGTTCGAGAACAACTAGCAAGTGAATTAATATTGATGTAACTCTCTGGTTCCCATGAACACAAACATGGAATCTGGTTTGAAAACAGCCTGCAACTTCTTCCCCTACCTCGCACCTATCTTTTAAAACCCACTGCAGAGCTGATCTACCAAGTGGCATTAACCTGCTGCCATGGGGCATTCCAAACCTGCATCCTTGGAGATGAAACCTTGACAGAAACTAACCTTCCGGCCCAATTCCTCCACTGCAGACTGAGCCCGGACACCGCCGTGTTCCTACGGCACGCCTGCGACTCACCGCATCCCACACTGCGTCTTTCAGAAGCGGCCAAAACTTCTGCTAAGTAAGAGTTGAGCCTTTCTCTACACATTTCCCCTCTCTATTGGGCCTGGGTCCTTGAGATATTCTCTCGAAAGCAGGTAAGTGCAAAGACACCTGGCATCCTGCAGCGCTGTGACCCTGCCAGCAAACTTACTTTGCTTTCCCTTAACTTAGTGTGAATATTACACATCCAGCACTTTAAAGGCAGTTCCCTAAGACACGCTGCAGCTAGGAACTTGAAAACCTGACATAAAAGCAAATAAATAAGGAAGGAGAACAGAATTATTTATAAAGAAATTTATTTTATATTTGTGTACAACAAATATAGGAAAACAAATTTAATTTGAAAAATGTATATTCGATTTCTTAAAAGTATTGAACCCTCTTAAGGAAAGGTTTTAGTTAATAAAAAGCTACCAAAGGGTAAAATTATACTTGGTTAATATATGTGTGTGTACGTATATATATATAAAAACATGTGCAATTTTATATATATATGTATAGTATATATAAATAACATGTGACTTACATGATATTTTAAGGTATGCTTCTTAAACATCCGAGTAACAATAGAGATATTATAAAATATAGTTTGCTATTTCTACAGTTTGCATTCAGTTTTTATAAGCATCTAGACAGTGCAAAATTTAAACACACAGAAATATTCTCCTGTTGTTCTATACATTGTGCTCAGCTCCCAAATTTCCTCTGTCATGATCATAATCAGACTGAACCAAATTTGGAGGGTTCAATACTAGCCCTTACCAGCATCTTCTAAGAGCAATAAAAGGAAATCTGTCTTACCTTGCACTGCACTGTGGTATAGTTTGCACACAAGAGAGAACAATGCATTTCCTATGTTAAACGGTCTAACTCCCAGAGATCACATACACCTCACCATATTGACTCATTTCATTGCACTCCATATCCTGCAAAAATAAATCTCCTGTAGGACAGCATACATTACTGCATACTGAAGTTCAAATAATATATTTCTTTAACATAAGGCAGGAATATACTGAAATTCGATAACACTTAAATCCAACAGCAACCTGGAATTAAACCACATTTATGTACCACATTTTTATAGGTGCTGCCTTTTTTATGCTTATGTCAGAAAATGTGGTAGACAAAACCTACTTTTCTTTAAATAAAGGCAAAGGATAAAAGCAGTCCTTCTAGAAGAAATTGCTAAAAACCAATGGGACCAGTAGAAACTCAACCGCCTTGAAACACCAAAGGTCAGTGTGCACAACCTTTCCTGCAGCCAATGAGCAATTCCTTACATGACATCTGGGGGAATACTCATGTGAGTAGGTGCTCACTACAGCACAGCCCGAGTGTTTTAGCTCTAAATAATTTATATCATCTTTATTTGCATCTATTCAATGTCAAGGTATTGTATGCTTTGTTTATGTCTTCTTTTATGTTGCTAAAAAGGCGATTCAGACCATTCCATATGCTTTTACAGTAGCTGTGTTTTAACTGAGGGATGTTTGTACTTTAGATAATATGTTTATTATCACCTAAAAATCTCAGTCCTGCTTCCATAAAAATCAGTGGTTGCTTGCTCCTACAAGAAATAAAATTGGATCCAAATACGTTAGTCACAAAGTTTGCTAATAAAAGTAAATACTATATTCATTAAGTCTCTCAATGCTTAAAGGCAAAGTGGTGTTAGCAAATACTGTATAGTATAGCTTAAAGAACAGTATTATGCACACTTCTAGACAAACTGTTTTCAACAAAATCTAAAAGCAGCTGTGAAAAGCACCTTATGGGACAGCAAATTTTGGTACATGAAAATTTCTGGAGCTCTGATAGGCTTTTTTCAAATTCATTTCTTAAACCAATCCCCTCACTCATGCCCTACACTGCAATTGCACAAATTAAAGGCTGTGGCCTTGTAGGCAGTATGCATCCAGACCAGCTCATCTTTAAAATCCAGTACTTCAGGAGGGTCTCCCTCTTTCTGCCACACTCCTTCCTAAACTCTCTTTTAGCAGAAACTGTTGTGTTTCTGAATCCTTGTAGAAACCGACACGATAAAGAGCCTAGTGTCATCCCTCATCTACTTCACTTCTCAAGTTTATCTCTGCACTTGTCCACATAATTACCCCCTGCAGACTTCAACTTTAATTCAGATTTGAGTTACAGTTGCCAAACAGGCCTCACAAAAAGACAAAGCCTCTTTAGCAGCCCGCAAAAGTGAGCCTTACTAGTTAAAACCTTGATTTAAATACCAAACAAAGGGGAAAAATAGATGCTGAGACAATGTTTACATCCTTTCGACCACACCCTTGACATTTTGGCAGTAAATTAGCCAAAGGATGGGCTTCACATCTCATCCATCTCTCTCAGTTGTGAAGGAACAGCCATAACAACAAGTTTTTGCAGGGTGTGGCTGATGCTGGGAGATGGCTGAATATATATGACCAAAGGCTGCATGCCTCGCAAGTCAGAACAAAGCAGAGATGTGCTAGGAATTCAGGATTTTCTTATGCCCAAAAGTTTCCTATAGACTGGAGATAAACCCAAGTCCTGTCTCCCACACAAAAAGGAATAGCGTTCAAACCTAGAGTAACATAGTACTAAGAAGAAACTAATAACTAATGATGCCAAAGCCACTTGATTTAAGGATTCCCCAAAGCAATCTCAAAGAAAGGAAAGGAAAAGAAAACCTGTGGAGTCAGTCAACACATTTTTCAACCCAATTATATAGAAACGCATCAGCAGGCAAGGCGTCAGTTCCAAAAAGGTGAGGAAGAGGGATGGTGCAAAATGCTTTCATACGTTTAAACATTCTTAGGATATAAGAGAGCAGGCAACTTGGAAAACATTCCTTGTGAGCCGTGTGGGATCAGCACAGTTTTCTGCAGGTTTTGCTTCATCCTACAGCTCAGCTTTGCCTGTTTGGGCAGGACTGGCATTACCGCTGCCTTCTCCGGCGTTGTTCTTGTCTGCTGGCTTGAAAGATAACGAAGCAGAGTTTGTGCAGTACCGCTTGCCAGTTGGGCGAGGTCCATCGTCAAAAATATGCCCCAGGTGCGCACCACACTGAAACAAAATACAATAGAATATCACTGTGCCTCTGTGCAGCTTGATGGCATCGCCATGGTGTTAAGCAACCACCAGCAGCCACTTCCGAGGAAGCACATTGGTGCCTACATCACTCTTTCAAGTGGGATTTACAGCCTAAATTCATCTGCAACAGTGATCGAGGAAGATGATCTTCTGAGATACCACGGGCACCTAAGACTTCAAGCCCAAATTTCCTGGGTGTTTCCCGTTGTGCCACTGCGTATGTTTGGTTGGGCCACTATTTCTGAGAAGCCGCTTCTCTCTGCAATGATCTCATGGCAGGAGCTCAGTTAAAAACACGTTGATGAGGGCAGCACTGCCCACGTTTCACTCACTGCTCTAAGGTCAGCTGTGTAAGAAAGGGGCAGCCTGAGCTCTGGGCTCTCTTCAGCCTGCGGCCATCTGCTATGCCCCTTGGTAAGAAAACACTAAACCCCTTGGTGATCCTGGCAAGGACCTAAAGCAGTGATGACTTTCTTTGGAGTATGCCCTTATACTCATTTTTCTTTCCACAGCCTGGCGCTCTTCTGAGCATCAGGGTCCTTCTGCGTGCACCGCTGCTCCTCACCCCTGGAGAGGATGGAGCTCATCCACTACTCATCTCGTACGACTTTCTGTAGTATGTAAGAGATAGGGACAAGTGACTGAAAAAGACCTGTAGTGAAGATATGTAACAGATTTCTGAATGAATAATCTTTAGCTGGGAGTAATTATAAATAGGAATGATGCTGAATTTGCTTTTTGTAAGCAATATGAAACTACAGATGGTCTGTTGACACTTTTGTTCTGCATGAATCAGCCTCAGATACTCACAGTGGCCTTCAGGGTGATCACTACTGCTCCTGTCTGCAAGAAAGGTAACAGACCCTTGCTTTACAGAAGAGTACAATATTTTGAAGAAGCTGATCCAGTTGATCCTTTTATTAAAAGGATCAACTTATTAAAAAATTAGAATTAATTCATAGTAACATTATGGCTGACAATTTATCTGGATAATAAGATCTTCTCATAATTAGTCACTTAAATTCCACAAGTTCATTTTTACAGCCTGCCATGAGAAATAAAAAAATAAAAACCTTGCACTGGAGAAATATTTATCTTGAACAGGAAAGTCATGCTGCTTTACCAAAGAGCCTTGGCCTTTCAAGTCAATAGCCGATCTCAGTGAGAGCTGGAATGATGTAACTGGGATCACAGGGCTGCTCATGGGCTCACAGTCAGACAGCAAAAATTAAAGACTACAAATTATTCTTAACATTAATTAATTCATAGTATCCCAAATACATAGAGGCAACACTGATCGTTCCGAACTGTGAATGAGTCGGTGATGGCAAATCTCTACTTTGCCATTACCATGTTTTGCTAATGTTCTCCTGCTGTTATGGCCTTAAATTCACCAAAGCAATAGGAAAGGCGTCTGCAGAAGCAGGTAAAGTCTTGGCTTCAGGTTAAACTCTCTCCAAAGTCTGAAAGGCTAGAGGAGGCTCTCACACCACCTAGGAGGTACAGAAACTCTTCTCATTTAATGACAGCTGAAACAATAACCCTCACTGACTCCGGGCGCAGGGCAGGTAGGTACGTGAAGCCTCAGTGCTCCCGCCTGTTGGTCCCACCTGCACAGCCACATCCCAGGCTTCCTGCTCCTGGAGAAGTGCCGCTGAAACAGCCAAGGCAGTCCAGCAAGGGCCCCAATAACAAACGCGGGTGCCTCTAGCCCATGCTATCAGCAGGACGAGCTCCCAGAGGCAATAGGAAAAGGCATGGATGACTTTGGGTTAAGCAGCAGCTGCTCAGCTTTGTAAGGAAGGAAGACAAAACATGGCAAACAAGGAAAAGGCAAAGGGAAGTTGCATGGGAAGTAGAGAAGACAAAGCTTCAAGTCTTGCTTCTGAAAGAGTGCTGTCTTGCCACCCTTTCCTGAACTCTCCACTGCTTATTTTATTTCATTTTCCTTTAGATTAAAGGCCTTTTTTAGGCAGTTTGGGCAGAAAACCTGAGCTGGTTCTCAGAGTGGGGTTTCTCACAGTGGGGCATTTCACCTGATTATAAAGCTTTTCCATACCTTGGGGAAAAAAGAAAATCTAAAAAAACGTAAGTGTCCCAGAGAGAGTATTTTTCTAAATGCTTAGCATCCTAATTAAATCATCTCAACTACGAATGCTTCAAAACCTCCTGGCTAGAAGTGTTAAACTGATCTTTCCCAGATTAACATTTAACCAAATAAATCATTCCCTCTCCACTGGACAGAAACAGAACAAGAGTAACCGTAGAGAGAAATGGTCTGCAGGAGTAATACAGTCACATACAGACTACAAAGACAATCTATCAAAAATGTTTTCCTCACAAAACCTGAGAAGCTGTGTGAGAGTCCAACATAGTCTCATTACACCATCTTGTGATGGCAGAATCACACCAGGATTGGATTACTGCAAAATTTGTTACCTTTTGAGATTACCCCTCACCAAAAATTTATGTGGCGATTCTCTCTGTAGAGGACTCTATAACTCATCTGCCCTGAAAGGAAAGGTAATTTAATCCTTTGTATCCCAGTATAAGAAACCTGGTCCTCAGCTGAGAGTACAAAGGATGAATTGATTTTACTGTCCTCTCCATGCATAATGGGTGCTGATCATTTTTCTAGGACATATATACATGTCTGCAAAGCCTTCCAAAAAGAAACAATCATCTGTTGTGGCCTTGCACATAAATATATTGGGCAGAATGCACTGGGACGGTGAAACGGTTAGAGTAAAGCATTTGAAGTATGCGTTTGGGAGCAGGAAAGGGGGGGGGGGTGTCCTGCTAACTGTCAGTATGCTTGGATCTCTGAAACCTCCTGGTTCTAATATGCTGCTGGGAGGCACGGAAAGCAGCTTGCAGTCAGCTGCTGTAGCCAAGTCTAAGCTATCAATGTGCAAACAGTACTTTTGTGACTACAGAATTTTATTGACTTGTACAGGTACAAATAATAGGTAGGAAGGCCTCAGGGAACAGGACTCTCGAGCAGGAAAGAGGAAAAAAAAGAGAGATGCAACCTGTTTTACAGTATTCCTCAAATGCATTTGTAATTAACTTCTACCTGTCACTAATTATTGACCTTCTAAATACATCCATGGTGATGTCTTTCCAAAAAACTGTAAAAGTTATCTCTAGGATAATCCCATGCATGTCTTTGATTAATATTACAGCAATTTTCCCCCAGTGTTTGCCTCCTATAATGGAGAACATTAAAAGAGAGTTTTTCTATTCTCTCAGACAGGTGGAAGGTCTTTTAAAGAAAAACCAACTACTTTTTCATCTGCAAAAGATTAATAAGGTTTTGTGTGTGGGTGAGGGTATTTCGCTCCAGTTCTACCAAGGCCTGCCATATCAATCCCACTGCTTTCCAGGCTGCAGTAAAACCGCATTTTTTTGCAGCTGCATGTGTGAATCACATTCCTAGAGCTCCGAGGAAGGGAGGAAATGGTCTTTTTACGGATACAAAATGCAGTGGTATTAACTGTGCTGAGCAGTGGCTGCAAAGATGCTCACCACTCCTCAAGCTGTTTTCCTGCATGACTTGATCATCCGTGGGCTTATTGCCCCAGGAAGTTGGAGCAGCTGGTAGGAAGTTGCCATTGGATTATATAGCAACCTTCGTCGTATTTTCTTCTTAATGCTTTAAATTCAGGTTTTGGTTTTGCTTTAATTTTATGGTGTCTGCATGTGACTGCTGCTAATACTGGTGGTTTCAGGTCTGCTAATGCTATTTTGTTTGGCAACAGGTAAACGACATTCCCAGATTCCTTGGCCTGACCACAGGCTGCCTTGGGCTTCTCTCAGTTGAAATCAGGAGCTCTGGCCATCTCTTGAAGGGTGTCAGCAGATACAGGCTCAGCAGGTTGGCAGTACACTGATTTTAGCACTATTCAGGCCTCCTATGCAGAGCTGAAGAGAGTGGGTTGCATTTTTGTTATGTCAGTAATCACTGGTGAAGCACGAGCTTCCCAGTCTGCAGTCCCATTGCTACCCTGCTAGGGAATTTAGGGAAACGGATGTTCCCACAACGCGTTAAAAGGATCTTCTAAGGCATATTATCAACATAAAAACTACAGAATTATGTAGTATACATGACATACTAGCAGACACGCTGATTTGGCCATTAACATGTTGGGCCAAACCCTCTACCCAGACTGAAGTTAATGGATTCTCCACAAAGACAATCTTGCCTCTTTCTGAGAAGCTTCTTAACTCACTCTGAGCATTTATATATGAGGACTGACTGACTAGTAAGGATGCATATCGTCAGGGATGAAATCAGTTATCCCTCCACCAATACTTCCTGGAAAGAGAACAGCAAATTATCACTGCCCAAATGAAGCTTCTGCTTCTCTGAGGAGGAGTTTGATCATGTGAAGCTGGAGCCAAATGCCAATGCAGCAGCTTCTCCCTTTGCTAAGTAATGATTATGCCACTCCCTTCACAGAGAGGAGGGCAGCACAAAGGATGAGAGAAAGTAGAACAACACAGACAACGGAAAATTTGGGCATGTTTTGAATGACTACTGACTTCATTATTACAGCAGATGGGATTGTTTCACGCAGCCATTAGGATTGCGCTGGGAATGAGTGTTGGGAATGAGTTAGCACGGCTGCACAGTAATGCACAGTGATGGAATCAGCACACCGACAGTCGCTCCACTGCTTTCGACTTCCCTCTCAACTGCTCACGTGTGGAGTCAGTCGGCCAGGCTCAGGCTCAGGAGCTCCTTTGAAGGGACCCTCTTCAGGAAGACAGTTTTTGTAGACTCAGCACTGAGTCCAACCATTTACATCTGCTCTGTTGAATCTCACACGAGACAACGGCGTGCATTCCAATGAGCCCTTTGTGCCTTCAGCTCCTTCCACCCAGCTGTTATACCTACGACCCATTGTGCTCTCTCACAATGATTACTCTTTAATGGAGCTGAAAGGTTTGCAAATCTGAGGGAAAGTACAGCACGCTGTAATGATTTTTGCAGCCTTTGCCATCAGAACGGTCTGTGTGTGCTATAAACTAACCTGACTGCAGGATATTTCAATCCGATGCATCCCATAGGAGAAATCATCATTGAAAGTAATTGCATCGGGACTGATCACATCATAGAAGGACGGCCAACCTGGAAAAAGAGGAACAAGGTAAGTAAGAAAAGAGGGTGTCTTCGTGGCAGATGGCACTGTAAAAAGAAAAGCACACTTTGAAAAATGTTTATCTCCCTCTAGAGCCTGGAAATAACTCAAACGGAGATTTTGGATCCTAAATCACCTAGGTACTTTGGAAAATTTCCCCCCTAAATACAGAGTTGTTTACAGGCAAGGACTAAACTGCCACTAGCTGCCCATCTTCCATCTCAACAGAGATTCCTGCACTCCACTGTAAGCAGCAGTAGCACTTTAGCTCAGCCATGAAGGTGGTTGCCAGGTAAGACAGATTCAGCCTCACCATCAGTTTAAAAACCCACAAATTCCACCCTGCATACAAACAACAAGACTTTAAGGAACACAAGCATTTTTGCTTTTGCAGTGTAAAGGTACTTTTAAAAAGAGGTGGTAAGTTGCAATTTAGAGCCCCAAAACCTGCCTTAACCTTTGCCTTCACCAAGGCATGGTCACACCCAGAAGGACATGCTCAGACACTGACCCATCACACATCAGAGGCAGTGAGATGACCACTATTGTGTCTAATTTCAAAACACTAATGAGTGCTTCAGATCAGCCATGGCCAGGTGGAGTCATAACTACGCCTATATTAGACACTAGCAGATGGATTGCATGCGGTCTGCATCCAGGACAAAACAATTGCACTCATTAACACGTACGTTCAACGCAGCTGCTAGCTGAGCACTGAGCAGCACGACCTGACACCAGATGATGATGAGGTGTATACCTGATCTCCCAGTAATGGCCACTATTCCATGCCAAGTCTCCCCCTCTCCACAGCACGGGTAAAAAAACAACACAAGTCTATTCAGTGTGCCAGTAGATACCCATTGCACAGCTGTAACTTGTCAGCCACCCCTCAAAAACCTGTCACCGTGTTCTCCGTTTCCTGAAGCTGGGTTCCCACATAAGAACCTGATAGGCTTTAAGGCCACGTCAACATCTACCAGCGCCCATCTGAAATCCCACCAGCTATCTGTCCTTCTCATTCAGTCTCTTGCCAAATACAACACGCACAGGCAGCCCTTGCTCTCTGTGTATTACACATATGCCCACGTATACAGAACTTCCTTGTTTCTCCTTCTAATATCTGTTAAGCATTTGATACCAATGATTTCATAAAATTACTTGCAATAAGCTATTAAGAAACACAGCAGCAGCTGTGAATCACTGCATGCAGATGAATAAAGGATGTATACAGCTTCCCACAAATAAAGTTGAGTGAAATTTCCTATACAGTAAAAGGAGGTGTGGAAGCTATCAAGTCTTCTGAATGTGGGTAAAGAAAGTGTGTAAACCGCAAAAAAAATCTGTATGCCTTCAGCTGTATCTTAAACCATTAAATATGGAAGAACACTTACTAGAATGCAAGCATAATAGGCACAATTTTTTAAGAAAGAAATGCATTCCTCTTCCTTTTGGGAACATCCATATAGTAGCATTCCTAAGCTTGCAACCTGAGGGCATTGCAAGCCCCAAGGCCTATGCTCCCAAGGTACCTACTACCATCACAAGTGTTTCCACCCCAGAACTCACTGCAGAAGTAAGTAGAGTAATTTTTTCCCAAAAAGTATTGCAAATGGAAGAGTTACAGACAGCAGACAGACTGAGGAGCAAGAACTCTGAACAGGGAAAACATCCCGGAAGACAGGAACTCAAAACAGTGCAGCAATGACAACCGTAAAAAAACAATTTATAAACGCTTCCCCTCATGCAAAATATCCCTGCCAAACAAATACCTTCACAAACAGAAAAGGAATAAACATATGACAAGTTTTGCAAAAGGGGTTATCCTGTTGACAGAAAAATTGATGTCTCCTAATTGGTGGCTCCTTTCCAACACCATTCGTCATCTTCTTAGCTGGGCCTCTGCCTAACGAGAATTGAGGCCTTACACAGAGCTGGTCAGAATATTTTTAATGGAGCCTTTTTAGGTTTTTTAATTTAGTAATGTTGCAGAACAGACATCACTTTGCTCTTATGTGATGGCAGAGAAGTTCCAAAGAGGGAGCTGTTTGGAGCAACCAACTATCTGATCATGTGAAAGTCTTTGGAGGAGGAACACTTCAGGGCTGCAGAAACTCTCAAAGACAACCCAGCCTCCTCCATAACAGCAATAAGGGGGAAGCTTCAAAGGCAGCTACACAGAGATTGAAGCAATCTGTGTCTTGCTGAGAAAATTATCTTGTAAGAAGGGTTTGGAGGAGACGTGTTTATGTCAGCTTTGACATTAAAGAAAGACCATTCATCCTCCTTTCTCCAGACTTTTCCTTTTGGTCTTCCCATTCACCACAGAAAAATTATTTGCTTTGGATGCACTCCATGCACTTTTAAAAAATGAAGTCATCTGAAACCTATATAAACAGGCAAGCTCCTCCTCAAGTAGCCTTTGTACCCAACTGGAGTGACTTCAGTTTAGGCTGTCAGTTCAAGCCATACATGACACATGTTCCAAAGGCTCCACCAATGCCACATACACGCCCCAAGACAGGGACGAGGAAACAGGCTGTGCCTCCACAGCGTGGACTTTTAACTCTCAGTCAAGCCATCTCTTCTTGAGTGACATGGCAGGCGAGGCACCAGCATTACTGTGATGAACTAGTAACTTCATGAGGGTTGACTGAAAACTGAGCAAACCCTGCAACAGAAAAGGCCCTGAAGGGCACAGTGAGACACAATGTCACTTTGCTGACCTTGAGAACAAGACAAGTGAACTGCTCATTGAGTTGATGAGCCAAACTCACCAGGAAAACCCATCCCCCTCTGCTGTCTCATTTCCTCTCTCCTCAGCTAAAGTGGAAAACCCATTTGATAGTTTGCTAAGCCTCCTCTGGCTATTTTCTCTACTTCAAAAGCAGCCAGGAACAAGCTGCAGAAGCAGCCTGCTTGCCTGCACATCAGGCAACTCCTAGTGACATAGAAAGCCAACCAGACACCTGTGGACTCTTCATACAGTCTTCCTGTCTTTGTAAGTGGTGAATGACCCAGCAATGGCCTCCACTGTGCAAGCCCTAGGCTACTTCTCCTGCTGTCTCACTGGCTGCTGCTCCTGCACTCCTGTCCCCCGGAGTGCTGGCCTCCTTTCTGCTGTAAGGCTGCAAAACAGTAGGCTCGCTTTACATTTTAGACTGCTGTTAGCTGTGCATTAAAGCTTCAGCCTGCCTTTGAAGGCTACCTGGCTACTTGGAAAGGGCATGCTTCTGTAGGCATGGGGAGGAAGAAGACCATTTTTGTTCTTTTCTGCTGAGCTGAGAGAGAGAAACAGCAACCCTTAGCACTGCAGAGATTGAGCACTGGAGGAGACCCTTTGCAAACCTTGGTGCTGAGGCTCAACCCTCCCCGGGTGATGACTTTCTGTAAGGTCTAGCTCACCACATCTGATGGGCAGCAGGAGCAGGGCCGCGGTCTTTTGAAGGATGGTAAAACATAACAGCTAGGAAGAAATAGCTGCTGGAGGAAAGGGGCAAAGGGTAATTGCAGGAGACAAGATGGGGGTGGGGGGAGTCTCCCAGCTGAGTGAACAACTTCAAATGACATTTGCACTTTTTTGTGTGTGTGTGAACAGCAGTTAAGATTTGTGAATACATTTACCCTTGAATGCAAAGTTTAGTTTGAGGGAGAGTACGACACAGTAACAGTCAGCAATTTTTATCACGTTATAGACCTTTTACATGGGCTCAATCTTATTTTCACAATCACTTTGCATCACACTGGCAATATAAAAGGGCTTTAAAATAAAAGTTTGTTGTGTTTGTGCTCACTCCCTTTAAATGGGAGTCAGGCCGCTACGTCCTAAGGGCCAGTTTCTGGTACGTTAATAAACCAGCCATGGAGATGAATAGTTTTTCAGATACATAGCACAGTATCCTTGCACATATCCTTTCTTGGATCTAAAATACACTAAATAAAGTAATGAAACTTTCTTCTGTCAAGTACTTAAGTGAAAACCATGTGTAAATTGAACATTACTGACAGATCTTTTCCGCTCCATCCTGCATGAGTAATAGAAAGGATCTTATGCTGCTGGGTGTCACACATACTGAGTCATGTCCCATTCCTCCTCATTCTGGGACATCCCCCAAATATTTCGTAAAAGCTGCACAGCATTTCTAAAATTCACACCACGCCCCCTCACCAAAACCAAATCTTTTGTTTCTCATAATGCTCCCTGTTCTGGCAAAGAGGAGACAGTGGTTCATGCCACTTCATCAAAGAATGCTTTCTTCAGAGCAGAGATGGCCTGCTACTGCCCTGGGCAGCAACAGCGAAGAACAGGGAGGAAAAGAAACGTTGTCTTTGGTAACCTACGCTGGATGCTGCTTTTGCATCCCTGGGCACACGGTTTCAAATCATTCGAAAGAGGCAGCTTCTTTCTCACTTTCAGACTTCCTTGTCTATGTACCTGAGTGAGTCTATATTACTAACGAGTCAACTAAGGCGGGCACATATACAGGCATCAGGCACACAGCAGTCCCTGACAGCTGACAAACAGTCCGTCTGCTTCTTAAATTCAGATGCCAACAAAGTAGTTGTCATGCTTGGGTAAGGCAGTGACAGCAAATGGTGTGCCTACAGTCCAGCGCCCTTTGTGCATTCCTGGTAGAGATATGAAACCCCCGCCAGCGTAGATTGTTTCTTTCACATTAACCCAGGAAGTTGTAAAGCACCTCGTCTCGTGGGCTACTCCAGCACTCTTTCTCAGGGCGATGCTGACCTCATGCAAAAAAAGACAGACGTTTTGTTCCGATAAACTTTTGGAAAGCAGTCCAGCTGTTGATTGAGTGATCAATTTCAAACCTCCTTCCAGTTTTGCAAGTTTGCACACATTTTGTTGTAGTTAGATCTCCAAATTCCTAATAAATGGATGCAAGCACTTAGACATCTAACTGTTAAAATACCAGTCTCTAATGATTTGCAGAAGCAAAATGGCAGGCTGCTTTTGAAAATCAGCTCTGCTAGGCTACTTTTTCCCCTCTCCTGAACTAATATTCCTTTTGACATTTTTTTGAACAGCACAATTGCAATCCCAAAGCATCTAATGCTCTGACATTATTCCCACTCCATACACCTGCTGACTGGAGACCTCCACAGTTTTTCAATAACTGTGATGTCTGTAGTTATGTTTTTCATTTTAGATCCCAAAGAGATTAAGTTCAACCTGCATTTTATCATTCTTTGCTGTAAATATTCCAAGCATTTACTTCAGTGAGTTATTTACAGATGGAGAACTAGGGGGAGATGGAAGATGTTAGAACTACCAAACGGCACCAGATGGAAAAGAGGACCTTGACCTGAAAAATATCTTGTTTCTCTGATGTGCTGTATTTTTAGAATTCTGATTCCCTTTTAACCTAATGCGGATTAATGAAAACCCAAAGGCTTTTTAAGGTAGAGTCTCATCATTTATCTTCACTGAGAAGCTATGTCTCTGGAAAAACATAAAGCATATAGGATTAAAAAAAAAGGTAATAAAGCTTCTGCTTTGAAACTGCTGTAAAGCTGAAGGGCCTTCACTTTTTTCTTTCTCACAGGTTTATTGAAACAGAATCTGAAAGACACAGGCATCCACAGCTGTAACTTCTCACATACAAGTTTAATGTAGAACTACAAAGTGACATACTGCTATTATGTAGAATGCCTGTGCAGACATAGGGCTTCTTTTGGCTAAGATCCTGGGTTGTTTTTCATATTATCTCCATGATGATGAATGCACAACAAATACTCTTACTTACAAATGTTTTACCATCAGGTAACACTACTTTCAGTGGAGGTTCATCTAATTTACCCAAATGTAGCTAGAAACAGAATCAGGCACAGAAACATTCTTGTTCACCAGCAAATGACTTTACATCAGATATATACTCCACTGGGAAGAAAAGCTGGTCCTTTCCATTACCATATAGATATAAGAAGGACGACATGGTACCGTTTTTCAGCAGAACATGCAGTGTCGGAGTGGTAACTAGGTTGGGGGCGGGCGGGAAACAAAGACAAAATGAAGCTTAATTTTGGAAGGAAAAGTAAAGAGAGGGCTTATGTCTAAGATGCTACCGGTCTCCAACAGCAAAGTTGGGCTACCGCAGCAGGCAAATACCACTCCGACAGAAGAGCGTGGGAAGGGAATTTTAGAAAACAACTGAACTTCTAACAGCAGCTTTTATGAGACAATTGTCATCTGTTTTTTTTTTCTATATGCTTCTCACTTGGGAAATAAAAAAGTGAAAGCCATAAATAAAGGTGGTATTTTTCTTCCACTACAGCACTCTGAGCACCAAAACAACTTACTATGAAACACCATATGCAACCTAGATTTATTTCTTTGTTAGTGGAAGGAGGTTATACTTGTTTAAAATGATTGTTAAGGGAGACTTGAAACTTCACATCTACCATTTCATTTGGCATCTGATTTTTTCAGAACAAGAGTGCCCCTGATGTCTCTTGAGCAATGAAAGCATGGGGCCTGCTCTCTTTAGCAATTAATAACTGTATTGCAATATTGCTACTGCCCTAGCTGCTTCCGTAGTCCTTTCACTGTGCTCTACAATACTGCTAAATACAAGCTGGCTGCTTTAGAGCCTTTCTCTGTAACACTCCTGACATCTCCAACGTCTGGGCTGCTGCTAAAATCAACACATAGGCAGGAGATGGGATCTTCCTCAAGTCTTCTTACAAAGATTGAGTTACTAATGGTTTCTTTCTTGGTTCAGGTTCAACAAAACTACTGAACCTAACTCACTTCCTCCCAAAGGATGGGTTTCTCCCCTCATCTGAACAGTGTCTCTTGTTACTTGAAATCACGGCTAATGTTTGGAAAAATATATCTTATACATAAGTCAGCTGTAGATCTTCACCATCAAAGGAACCAAATAGAATCGTGTGAAGCAGGGTAACCTTAAGCTATAATTTTAAAATGCCACCAAGAAATGTCTCAAATAGTTTTTAAAATTTACTGTTGACCTAGTAACCTCAGTCCAAAGCATTCAACTTTGAATAATTTTTTTTGTTTTCCTTCCAGAAGCAGTATTGGTAAAACAAATGTACATATTGCAAAGTATCTTGCCATTGGTATACCTATGAGTTATCTGTGCAATTCACTAAAATAACTGAAGCTTTCATATAGGATGAGTAAATCAGGATAGCAGTACAGCTGGCAGGCCTTACAATGGAAGTGATTTGACAAAACTGGAATCCTAATGCAGAGTGTTCACAGAGAAAGCAAAAAAACCCCAGCAAATGCAACCTTGTAATAATCAGCATCTGGCACTGAAATGAACAGCAGTCACAGATGAAGTACATATCTGAAAAATTTGTCATGGAGTGTTTCATGTAATGAACATCCACAATTTGTTTGTTGAAATATTTTCCTGTAGTATTGTTACGCATGTCTGAGAAATAAAGTTTGTAAAGAACAGCCAGAACTCAGTTATACACTAAAACTGAAACTACAGAAGTGGGATTCTGACAGAATTATTTTTAACTCAAGAAAAAAAGCAGCCTGTACTGTCTTCCTTTTGCAGTTATATTTCTTCTATGGAGCCTCCTTCTGCGGTGCCTCCAGCACCGAGTGCTCTAGCAGACAAGCACCCTCCACATTACAGCTGGACAAACAGGCTCTCATTGCAGTTGTAAAGTTCTGAAACAAGTTATTACACTGATTAAAAGAGAAAAAAAAAAGACAAAGGCCCCTTTTCTTCTGTTTACTTTAGATATTGAATGAGATGTCTTGGTGAGGGAACCTGGTCACAAATAACTAAGAAGGGACATAATTTTCTTGGCCATCAAGGAAAGCTTTTGTCAGGATTTGGGCCAAGACTGGAGCAGTTAGCAGATGGCAATGTCTGCCAAAGGCTGACAGAATAGAGTACTGAACAGCAGGGTGAAGACAGAGCCACAAACCACCAGATCTGCTGTGGTCACAGGACACGACTCTGCAGGAAGGTGGGGTATGGCTCCTTCTGATGCCACCGTGAAGCGGTGGAGAGCAAAACCCTCCTCTTTGCCTAATATTACAGCTTATCCACTAAGCTAGCCTTTCAAACAGATACATTTCCAGAGCACAATTTTCAACCTAGTGCAGGAACATTTACCTCATCATGAGCTACTGCCCCAACAAGCCCTGCAAGGAACCTTCCCATGAAGCCCTCCTTCACCTGGGTAACGCAGAAAATACTCACTGCAGCTTCATGCAAAGACTTCTGAGGTACTTCAGGTGCCCAGGGTAGCTTTACATTGCCCGCTGCCTAGGACTTTGTCCCTACAACACACAGTGAACACTGTGCTGTCATGCACAAAAGGATGCAACAGCTATAGGCACTGCAGAAAATCCTCAAAGAAGAAAAAAGGAATGATTTGCAGGGTTAGATTGTTTGGACTTAGTGTTGGTTTGGGGGGGAAGGTTTAAATCTTTTTAACAACCTCTTATGCAAACAAAAGGAGATAGGTAATAATGCTGACTAGAAAATAAACACCTTTCTTCACAGAAAAGCCTGACAAAAACAATATATATGTGCACACACAGTCCCCCACACTCATCCTTTTCCTTTAAGTTTTCTGTGGAAAACTTCAGCTGTACTTTGAAAACTTTTGAAAACCAAAACTATTGAAATGGAAAAGTTCATATTTCAGATTATAATGTTCACCTTCTGTTTTGCTTTCTGTTACAGTTTCTAAAGCAAAGCATGCCCTTTCTGCTAAACTCCGTTATTTTCTTTCAAGAAAGATTTCAAAGGAAAACCTTTCACAGCCATACTATGTAGCCAGTGACACAGTCCAAGGAAAGAAATAGCAAACTACTTAGAAAGGATCTCATGAGAAGCTTTCTCTGTTAATGCTCTGCTCGGTGAAGCCCAGCTTTCCTCTGGAATCTCCCAAAGACTGAGCAAGCACTAACATGGCTGCTGTGCACATCAGCTCAGCACAGGTCTCTTATTTGCTCCGGTGCCTGTGCTATTGCTTACATGGCCGCATCTTTGATTTCTTCTTTTTCTTGTGGATTAGCCTTCTATTGTATTTTTTACTTCAATAAATAAACAAATATACCATACACAAACTGCTCAAGACATGGAAGTAATTTTCAACCTACGCTAAGAGCATTTGTAATTAGGCACAGTATGAATGGTCACAGTGGAAGTCAATTATACCCACCACATGTTTTTACAGACAAATAATATTGGTTTATAAACATTCAGCTCACTTCAGGGTCTTGTTTTCTTTCATGCTAGTCTAGGTAAAGAAATATGTAAAAAAAGAGTAATTGACTTGGAAAAGAAACCTGATGCAATAAGCAAGAGAAGGAATTAAGGGATTTAGAGCAAATCGGCAAAAGGAAACAGGCCAATGTGCAAGAGGAAACCGGAGCGAGGCAAGGTGCCAGGGGCGGGCACGCCGTCCTCGAATCGATGCATCCCGTATCTCAAGGAAAACTCTCCGCACTCATGGGGATTTGTCTCCATTACGCAGCACGAGGCTAGCCGGACCTGCACTTCACGTCATCGGCTACGGACACTCTTTGGACAC